ATCCCTGATTTTCAATAAAAACTTCGAAGTGTTTCATCATGTTTCACACAAGTTTTTCACTTTACTGTTGTTTTTAGTTCGTATTTTTAGGAATGTAGGTGAAGTGTTCACTATTCTTCTGTTACCAATGATAGATTTTATCTGCTGGACCTCTTTCTGTTTAAAATAAAAACTGGACTGCCTCAATTCTGTCTCAGACGAAGGTATAAAAGCCAGGAGCCTGTTGTTCACGGCCAAAACCTCTGGAGACAGCTGCTGCATGAAGGTATAGCTGTACCTGTTGATCTTAGCTACCAGGTTTCATGATGCATTCAGGGACCAGAAATAGATGGGATTTCGCTAAACCAATTGGAAATACTTTGTCCCCACATTTTGAACCAGTTTTGTGTTCACAAAGAGCGAACAGAGATATACAGAAGCTTCAGTATTTATCTGGGCTGTTTTTATGGGAAGAGTAAGATCTCCATTTAAAACTTTGATCTTTTTGTCGTTAAACTGTGACACCACAGACTGGTTAAATCTTTCCAACCTTCTGTAAGGCGCCAGATAGCGCACCGCTCCACTTTTAAGGGGAATAAAAGTGCTCACCCCGACCTTACTGGCTTTGATTTACCCATCCCCAGATAGGCGTGGTCGCCTCCCTTTTTTTGTACCTGCTCCATGCTCCTGCTTTCTCCTCCCAGGGTTAATAGATATGAAGTCATCTGGTGGAAGAGAAACCCTGGTGTGTTCTCTGGAGGTGCCCAGAGCACTCCCAGGGACATCACTCAGAGGCCTGTCGTGTCAGAGAGGAAGCAGCTATTAATAAATATCATTAATGGACAATCACCTGGTATCACAGAAACCACATAAATGTGAGCAGCCTAAAACAACAGAGTGGGAGTTGGGAGTCAGAGGGCAGAGGTCTGCGAGGAGATAGCTTCCTTCTGTTGAAAAGCCAGCTGAATCAGGGATTTTTAAAAAAAATCAATACCCGCCATACTTTTAGCACACTCAGAATGCATGAAATGTTCTGTCAAACACATGTATTTATGCTTCTGTCTGATAGAATTACGAGGAAAAGAGCCGACCGAGTCTTTATGGTGTCACATAAACCCCATATTTTTGTCTTTTACCTTTGGTTTCCATTTTCCTGCAGCAGCTTGGCAGACAGTGGTGGGAAGCACTGCATGCCATCTTACCTGCAAGAAGTCCGCGCTGCCACAGGTTAACACCTGCACTCTTTTAATGACTGTTTTCTGGGACGGCTATGTTGCTGCAAGAGAAATGTAAATGTATCCATGCGTGTGTGCGCGTGTGTGTGTTATTAAAGTAAAATGCACATAGTGGTTAGGTTCCTGTGCTCAGCAGAGTCTGGGGAAATACAACCTTGTGTTAAAAAGTCATTAGGGAGCTGATGAAGGTGTTTGAGAGTCACAGCCTGCTCATCATCGCTCTGCTAACGTCCCTTAGTTGCGTCACTGTGGTTCTGGATACAAAGGCTTAAAGTTTTGGCTGAACACGACTTCACTCCAGATGGAGGAAGAGCTGACACTTGTGCAGAGATAGCTTCAGGAGTAGACTTGCTGTCACGGTAAGGCCTTCTTCTTTTAGCTCAATTTGTGACTTTGCCATTATTCTTAAATTCTACTGCTTATATGTTGCCAGATGTTGCATTTTCAGTAAAGTATGTCGTATGTTATCGCCTCAAAAATGACAATAATGATGATTGTAGCACTCAATTTCTCAAGTTGATCATTTCTGCAAAATATGCCCTCATACAGAAAAGGCTGATATGATAATATTAGAGTTGGCTTTGGGTCTAACGGTGTGAATGAAAGTATCACGGCTTCAGAAATTTTCCTTTAGCTTGCATGCTCTGTGTTTTTCTTTTCTGGGTCATTAAAATCTAATTAAAAGAGCACAGTTTTGATTGTTGTACATTTTCAGTAAGGGTTCCATAGAGAAATAGGGGCGTTCTACCTCCAACCATTAGCATTTCCAGCAAAAAAGTCATGCAAATCAAACAGGTCAAACCCTTAAAATTTAAATAAAGAAACTTTCAGATTACCTATTAACATGTTTTTTGAGACCGGGGTTGTTTAAGATGTATTTGGTCTTAACACTTCTCAAACTAACTGTGAAGCTTCAGAAATGAACTTGTATTAATGTTAAAACATAGACAGTAAGAGAGTTATAAATTGCAAGCAGGATTTTAACTGCTTCCCAAAGTGCCTCTCCTCAAAAATATCTTCAACTATCTCTTTAATAGTTGTGTTTTAACATAGGATTACTAGGATTGTAATTTTTTACTTTAACTTTTTTTTTTTTTTTCCAGAGCGCCTATTCTTACCATGAAACAAGAATGATTTTATTTCATGTAGTTACATTTTGAAGCAGTTATTTCTTCATTTGACTGCGCCCTATAAATGTTTTACTTTCAGCAATATTTTTTGGTTAATTTGGTGCTTTGTGTTCGTAACACGTCCTACAACTTCCGCAGCCGCCCCTCGGCTCTCTGCCTCGCCTCTGTACTTTGACACCCGCTGGCCTCTCTGAATTTAGGCTAATTCGGTTAACAAGCACACAGAGCTCCACTGCCAGCTGGAAACCTCCCAGAGCAACTCGTTGTCCCGGACTGATCGTGTTCGAGGAAGAGACATGGGAACCCGTCTAATCTCACCTTACCTCTGGTCTCTTTCTCTTCCACTGCTGCATTTCACTTCCCTCCTTCACTCTTGCCTGAATGAGCATCTTCTGGGCTTTTGTGTGGACTGTAAGGACAATGCGCAATAAACTGGTTTCCTGCTCTTTGAGTGGCGAAACTTTGTATGATCACCTATTAACATGTTTTTTGAGACCGGGGTTTTCTTTTGAACACAGGGAGTTCATTTCCACTTTTGGACACACACTGACAAGGTGCTTAGTCCAAGCTGTGAATTAATTTTGTATCACAATGATGACGACTACAACTGATATGTAAGCCTTTCAACTTTCATTGAAGTTGGATTTCAACTTCCTTTCTGTTACTCCTGTATTTTTTTTCATCTTATATTTGGATCGCTATTCACTATCAACACATAGAGGGTGCGGGATGATCTGTTAGTAGAAATAAAGGCCTTTCTATTACTACACCACTGAGATCCTCAGGATGACTATAGTACTGCAGGGAGCTGCAGGCTTTGTGTACATCCTGCAGTGTGTTTAGCTTTTGTGATATTTTGACATGTATCTCATTGGTCACAAAAAGGAAGGGCTGCGACGCGTGATACTTAATGCTCATGAGGCTGCGTTGACGGGACTTAACAAAGTGAGAGTCTGAGATGGGGTTTGGATTTGTTATCTCTGCATAAGTCCTTTTTAAAACAAACACTTATAAGATGAAAAAGATAAAGCTGCAGAAATGAAACCTGTGTCACAATGTGTGACATTTCCTGGTATGCCAAACAGAAACTATAGTTAGCTGAAACAGGCTCTGCAAGCTCATAATTTCACTCTGCTGGTTTCACGTGCAATCCTCCGTATCGCTTCTTTTACCAGAAACAAGGTAATGAGAACTAAACTAATTGTACATACTCTTAAAAATACATAAATGCACCTAAGCTAATGCAACCCTACAGATGTGCTCTTCTTTGCTGTTTTTTTTTTTTTGTCTTTTAAAAAGTGATTTACTTGACTCTTCCTCTACTCTGCTTGTAAAACGTTTTTTGCGCTCATAAGGCGGTGTGAGCGAGGAGCGCAGAGCTGATGTTTTTGCTTCGGCCATGTCTTAGCATCGTGAGCGGAGCCAGCTGGATGCCATTCCCGATGGGAATCATGAATGTGAAGGTTGTTAAAAGATATGGAGCCTTGTATCAAGCGTGGACTCACTAGCAGCAGCTGGTTGGCGGGGGGAAGGGAGCACCGAGAGAAATGAGAGCACTGGGAAAGAGTTTAAAAAAAAAAAAAAAAGGAAAAAAGTGGAATTCATAACAGTAGCCTAGGAAGGAATGTCTTTCGTTGCGTTTTTGCTGGTAACATTGTGACTGGGACATAGTATAGAATTAGAAATATTTATATTAAAGTTTAGATGCCATTCAAATCTACATATGTCACTTTTTTATTTTTACATCTGTGTTTTTCCTCATGTGATGCCCAGAAAAACAGAGCGGAGCAGACGGGGCATTTGGTAAACACGAGGAACACAACTGTACCTTTGCTGAGTCTCCCTCAGGCCTCGCTCATCGAGGACTCAGACTCAGCCAGGGCTAAGTAGACCTCACAGCTAAAGCAACAAACATTCCTTTAGCTGGGTCAACAGTCTGACATTCGCACCTCACCAGCAGGTTCACCTCAGCAGGCAGCGTCCAAGCTCATGGAAAAATAGTCTATTGGGAATATGAAGAGGAAGGATTGGTATGAGGACATTTGGAAAAGGTGCAGAGCAGGTATGACAGGAGTGAAGGGGAGAGCGAGGACAGGCTAAGTGGTTTTGATTTGTTCACCTGACATACGGATTTATGAAGCCACTTGTCTTGTCGTCTTCAGCAAATGCTCTCTACCTCTTAATCAGCTCACTGAAGATGCACAACAAAACAGTGCTTGAGAAAGAGATTTGGGCCTCGTGAAAGGTTGTGCATTTTTAGAAGCTGTAAAATAGTATCCCAGGAATCTATGGCAAAAGCTTGAAAAATGTTTATGTACAAATAATTTCTCCACCCAGTCATAGCGAGCTTGAGATGTATTGCAAAGAATAATGGGTAAAAATGAAGAAAAATACTCCAGACTTGCGTCTGTGATGATAGCATAAATTCTAAGTTTTTTTTTTTTAAAAAAAAGGTCTAACCAAGAACTGCATTTGCAAATTACCCTCTGGACAGAAGGCATTTGTACAAAATAATGCAAAAAAATAAAAAATAAAAAAGAGCCCAAGCTGGTTTTCAGATCTGAGATTTTCTTGCTACAATGCAACATTGCGGCACCATTCAGCCACACTGAAAACACAAAATTAAATGTTGTGTGTATCTCTTTTCTCCATGCAGAGGCTGAAAGCTGCCCTCTCCCACCACCCTGGTGCCATCCCTAACGGCAACATGAACTCCATGGGCCACATGATGGAGATGATGTCAACAAGACAGGAGCAGGGCAACCATCATCACATGCACTCGCACCCGCACCAGCACCTCCAAGCACCTCCCCACACGTACCAGCACCACGGACACCACCACCACAACCAGGGCCACGGCCAGGGCACACACCACCACCCACAAGGACACAACCCTCATCACAACTCCCACAATCCTCACCTCCTGCCCGGGCACCCACACCAGACATCACCGCACGCTCCTATGCACTCGCAGGTAAGAGAAGCCAATTCCCAGGGTCTGAGCTCCAAGGCAAAGCCGCATGTTTCATAACACATTAAATCTCCCACTCAGTGAGAAGTCACTGACTAATTGAGGGCAATGTTTCAGTAGCCCTTTGTGTAGTTTTGGAAGAAGCTATTAGTGGTTTAATGCTCAAGCATTGCTGAAATGATGCTTAAAATTAGAAGGTTAGTGGACAAACCCATTCCCCCCGCTTGCATCCTCAATGCCAGCAAGTTTCCTGGCACGCTTTTCAGAAAACGCTTTTCTTCTCAGGTTGGTCAGCTGCAGGTCAGAGCTTGATGCCTGTCATGAGGGCATTGCTTAGAGTGGAAGTCATAAAGTGGGGGTCATTAAAGATGCTCACAAATGTCTGTTGGAAATTTACTCTCACCTCATCCTGCACCAATGAGCCTGAGACATGTGGCCACATGAGAACTTCTGGAGCACGAGGAGCGCTGTAGAAGCTCGTCCCGATGTTTCGCTGCAACCACTGATCAGAATCCTGGAAGTTGTTATCTGTGAATGGATGTGGTTTAATTTAAAACTGATGCTTACAGCATTGTGACTTTCTCCTTGTACCGTTGCCGTTATTTGCGGTGTCAGTCTTTTGGATAAAGCACAGTCAGACTAGAAGAAATGCAACTCCTTGTATGTTCCAGATGTAGCATTAAGGCATTAAAGCAACCCGTTCTGTATGCACAGCTGCCATTAAAGCAGCTTGTGTGTTTTCCATGGTTCTCATAAAAATGGTAATGATCTGAAGACTGAAAACACTTGACTTTGCCAAGGAGACGTCAAGATCTGTCAGAGCATGTACGTTTTTAGAAACGGGCCTTTTCACTATGTCTGCTGGTGTTAGTCTGAGTGGAAGTGGGCGTTGGAAAACTGCCTCCTGACACCTCTTTAACAAGGTGGGCAACTCTGGTGAATCAACCCAGTCACCCACTCAGTCTTTCACGTCTGACGCACGCAGCCCGGCTCCTGAGGCACGTGCTGCAAACAGATGTTGTTTTTGGGTGAAGGTGCTAGGCATTCAAAAACAAGGGGGAGATAATGTATAGATGTTTACACACAAGCTGCTTTGAGGCCAGCGCAGTGGTGACAGCAGACAGCTTCCGGGCTGTTTTCCAGATGCCAGGGAGGTTGCACACTACGCAGAGAGACGCTGTGTCATCCCGAAGATCCCAATAATGATCATCCCGTGCGCCGTCTGTTTCAGATGTCACCTGCAACCCAGCAGATGCAGCCCACACAGACGCTGCAGTCCCCCCCAGCCAGCGGCGGGCGACGCAGACGGGTAGTGGACGAGGATCCGGACGAACGACGGCGAAAGTTTCTCGAGCGAAACAGAGCGGCTGCGACGAGGTGCAGGCAGAAGAGAAAAGTGTGGGTGATGTCCTTGGAGAAAAAAGCTGAAGAGCTCACTCAGACTAACATGCAGCTTCAGGTATAAAGATGAAACTACATTCATTCATGTTGCAGTGTGAAATTCTAAGCTGTGTGGTCCAGTGCCTTGCAAAATATTCACATCCTTTGAACCTTTTTACATTTTTCATGGTGCAAGCACAAACTTAATTTCATTCATTTGCTATTTTATGTGGAAGACCAACACAAAGTAGAACACAGCCATGGAGCGGAAGGAAAACTGTACATAGCCATGAATTTATTTAAATAAGACCTGAAAGGTGTGATAGGCTGCAGATGTGCACTTCGTAGAACCATCTCGTGGACATAGGTCCATACAGACAGAGACGTGTGCATTCTTCTTTCTTAAACAACTGAATCTCAGTGGGCTTGGATGGTGACCATCTGCGGGAAGCAATTTTCAAGTCACGGTAAGGTCACTTAAACACATGAACCTGCTGTGATCTAAACCAGTCCGTCATAGCTCTGGTTATATGATCGGGATTGTTGTCCTGCTACCAGCTCCAAATCCTTTGTAGTCTCTTCCCACAGGGCTGCCTTGTAATAAGCTCCATCCATCTTCTGAAGTTGTAACTCTGACCATCACACTGAATTTCACGTGCCGGTTGATAAAAAGTATCCTCACAGCATGATTCTTTTTGAGATCAAACTGTTACCTTTGATCTCATTTTCTATGATTATCTTGTTATGCATGTTATTTGTATCCCTTGCATGGTTTGTGCCAGACAGAAAACATTACTTTTTTGTTTGCAAGAGTTGCCTTTTTCTTGCCACTCTTTCATTAAGCCCAGACTTGATGATTCAATGGCTAGACTTATCTGATAGGTACTTTGTGTTGGTCTGTCAGACACATATTAATACTTTTGCAAGGCACTGTAAATCATTGTAAATTGTATTCCTTGGTTACCACTACTAACAAATGTCTTCTTTTTTTTTTTCAGAATGAAGTAACCATGCTAAAGAATGAGGTGACCCAACTCAAACAGCTTCTGCTCACACACAAGGACTGCCCCATCACCACTATGCAGAAAGAGTCCCAAGGTTACCTCAGTGAGTAGCCCAAAACATAAACACAGATGAACCCCATGCACACACACATTTTGGAATATGACCAAAACTACACCTTCCCTGACGTGCCTTAGCCCTGCAGACTTAACTCTAAGGTATCTGCCAGGACTCTTTGCGCTGATGTGCTGGTATTCAGGTCCCACGCTCGCCGCAGGACTCTTTCTTTCGCACCAGGGTGTTGCACACTCTGGTAGCCGGCCCGGATTGGGAGTTGGTCGTCTAAATCTTCGGAGAGACTAAATTTTCCATCCAACAGCTGCACTTTGCACAGGGAGTCAACGTGAGAAAACCCTGACAGTCTACAAATTGGCAAAATCTCATCAATGCCCACAACCATTGTGACTTTTCGGATTGCGCTCCAGCTCCGCTTCACATGACATCAGAGCTCCACCCTTTGATACGGACTCAAGTGACGTTTTCATGTAAATGGGATGAGGCACCTCCCTGTGCCAGCAGAGGAAAATAAGGCTCACATCCCCAATGGCTGAATGGCTCTTTTATGCAGGCGAAAGCCGCATCCCAGACAGGGCAGGAATGGCTTTCATTGATGAGTCTAGCTTGTGTGCAGATGTCATCTTCAATGTGTCTACAACTCATCAGCATGTTTACTGGCTTAACTGATTCAATTTACACTATCTGTCCTATCCTATTTTTGTTTTTGGAATGTTACATGTACTAAAGTAATATTTGTATATTAAAAGCTATTTTTATTTTTTTTTTTTTTACCAATAAATTGCTTCTTTCTTTACGATTATGAGATGGTTTGTGTTTATTTTTTTATTTTAGCAAGGTTTTTTTTGTTGTAAAACTTACACATGTAACTATCCTTAGTGATGTCTCTGCTGTGTCCTCAGGTCCAGAGAGCAGTCCAGCTGGCAGTCCTACCCCAGCATGCTCCCAGCAGCAGCAAGTCATCCAGCACAACACCATCACCACCTCCACCACGACTGTAGGGGGCGGCACTGTGCACGGACAGGCTAACCATCGCACAGACATTAACCCCATCCACTAGGGACTGGAGAGTATCATTTTTTTCAGCTCCCCCTCTTCTTTTCTGAGGGTCACCAGCTGCACACGCTGCCCCCCCTCCAAGTCCCGCCTCCCACTAGGAGAAAAACCTCAAAAGACCAGCGCGGCTGCTCTTTATACAGTAGCTACAGTATATTTTTATAGACCAACCCTGTTAACGTGCAGTGGCTCTGTGGTTTGCCCAGTCTTGTTTTTCTGTCTGCTTTTTTTTGTGCAATTGGCTGAAAGAAGTGTTGTTGCTGATCATCAACAGCAGTTTTGGAAGTTTTTCTACTTTGTTATGGTACAAAGCTGACGAGGTGGATATGGAACCAGAGAAAGGAGCCAAAAAGCATCTGATTATCTTCCCCAGAATTATGTCTTAGATTTTGTATGCATAATGGACTGAATAAGAAGTCAAATCATTACCTGTGCAAGACAGACAGGTGGACTTCGGTATCGTATGTTTGACACAGAATCCACGTCAAACTGGCGCTATGCCTTTGTAAAGACTTAAATCTGGTATGACTGTTAGCATTCACCCTGTTACTATAAGTCTTAATGAGCTTTATTATAATCTGCATGACAGTGATGACACCTTGCGTACAAATGGAAGCAATACATAGCAGTGTTGATTATCCCCGTTTACTGTATCCCCGCATCATGATCAGTGACCAAAACATTTGATGTTGTGTCAGCTACAGAACTGAACACTGTGATCCCGGTGAGGCAGCTCAGGGCGTTGAGACCAACTCCTAAGCACTGCAGGACCAACTCAAGCTTTAATCGTTGAAGACTTTTATTTGTCTGTGTCGAGTGTTTGGATTTAAGTTCCATATGAAATTTATGTTTGATTGTGCGAATGCATGTGAGTACTGTATAGTGATCTTTTTCCTTCTTTTCTGTGCAGAACAAAGTTCAGTTAGAGCAGAAAAAGAGAGGAGCTTGTGAGAAAACAGGAGAATTTGGGAAAATTATTTCTTTTGGGGAACAGACAGCCTTTAAGCATTTCTTTCTCGGTGTACTTTCCAAGTTATCACAATGTGCCTGAATCTTTTTTTTTTGTTTTGTTTTGTTTGCTTACGTTAGACAACTTTGAAAAATTGTTTTCTGTTGTGTTACTACTTTAATTGTTTATGTTTGATGCATATTAGAGATAGATTTTTCCACAGGTAAATAAGTATTGAGCATATTTATGTTTTTCTCATGACAGTCATGCTGCATGTCTGTAACAGCCCAGGTAGTATCTACACATGGAGAAAATAAATCCAAGTTATGCCAGATCTTTTGTAATGATATGGTATGTCACAGGGAATGAATATTGAAAATGCTTACTAAAATGTATGCAATCTAATATTAAAAGGGGGGGGGGGGTAAAAAATCCTTTTTGAACCGTTTCAGAACAGACATACGGAAATTGAGTTCATTCATTGGTTAGATTCGATCCTCTACATACCTGTTCCAGTTCTTGATTTCTCTGCAACCCTCCTCTGTGCACTATGAGACTGGAATTCATTTTTAATTGGATTCCAGTCAGATGATTGACTGGGCCATTCAACTGTATTTTCTTTTTCTAAAACTGTCAGTTTTCTTGGTTGTTTGTTTGGGATCAATGTCTTGCCTAAAAACTTATCTTCATTTCACCTTCAGATCAGTTGTAAATATGCCTGCCAGTGTTAAATTACTTTCTAACCTCAATGTTAGTGTCGTGTTTTGGGATAGTATAATTCTTAATTCGTTCCCCAAATATGGTGTGGACAGTGACAGTGTTATTTTGTTCCTAAGCTGAACACATGTTTATGTTGACTTCACTTCAGCAGTGAATGCGAACAGCCTAATTCCAGGTATTTCTTGAGAACTCTGCAAGTAGTCCCCGGCTCTTCTAAGCAATTTTTCTTGTCTCATCTGTCAAAGACTTTGCCAAAAATACCTGTTTGTGACCGTAACTGTGCTCACAGAAATCCAGAAACCTCTCTTTAACCAAAACTACCAGCATCTTGTGCTGCAATCCGTTTGTGATGGTTACGAGAGATTTCTTTGCTTTTGCTTGTCATAAGACACTTAATGCATGATTTCTTGGTAATAAGAATCATTTTTTTTAACCCAACAATTGAATACTATTAGTCAGCTAATGAGGTGCAGGATTTTTTTTCTAAATACTGCCAGATTTTAGTGTTTGTTCTTCTCCTTCTTGTTCTTTTTTAAAATACTTTTAAAGTGTTCAGTACTTCTTTCCTGTGACACATTTGTTTGATTTTTTGTTTTTTTTCATAATACATAGTTTGTCACTGACATGTGGCATTCATTTCAGGGCAGTAGCCTCACTAGAAATCTATGTCCTGAGAAAAACATTGATGTGTTAAATAATTGTTTGCAATTCTCTATTACTGCCTTTTTCTGTCCCCTCGTCAACCTCAAAACTTCTCACATCAACCACATCTTGTCCTTAACTCCTCTCTTGAATGACCAGAAATGTCAGTTGAATTGCATGCAGACCATGATGCACTGTGTTTTGCAGCAACATGGGTGAAATACATTCCTCTGGCAGGTGGGGAGATCACAGCGTTGTCTATGCACTTTTGTCCTCTGATGTGACAGAGGGTAGAATAGCCATATTAAAAGGTCAGAGTAATTCTCAGCGATCTCCCATCTTCACACACCAGCGAGAAAAACGTAGCGTGTTTTGCCTTTTCTTTTCTTTTCTTTGAGAGGCCATGCCTGCCTTGCATCACAAGGAGACCTAAAGTGTCGGTATGGATGTCGAGCTGTTTAACTTGTGCTTCTTGTTGTTTTCAAAAACGTTTCTCTTCCCATTCATGCCAGGCTGTTGAAGGGTTTGGAGAAATGTAGCTTTTATGTAGTCTCTTGATGTCGGAGCCTGCATGTGCAGCTCAGTATGAGTGATGAAGAGTGAGAGAAATTCTCTTAAAAAGGGCTTTGTTGTACCACCCCTCTGACTGGAAGCTTGCCTTATTTTTAGTTTGTAAAACTAATGACGGAGATGATGTCTGAGTTACCATTCCGAATTAATCCTTTTGCATGGAAAAAAAATAAAAAATGTTAATGACCTCAGAATACTTTAACTGGAATCATTAGTCTTTGGAGTTATATATAACTTTACTCTCTTTGACTGAATTTGAATTTATTACAGAGAAAAACATTTGTTACTCTTTCGGCAAAGAAAACGGTCAGATGGAAGACAACGTGTGCATATCTGTGTGCAACATCACATTGATGATGTTGTGACTGTATTATTTGAAATTTAAATATATAAATATTGTACATATCATTAATTTCTATAATCATGTACATGTATTGACACCACCTTTCTTTTTGAAGGGAGTATGAAATGTGTGGTACGTTTGTAAATAATGTTTTCATAGCACTTGTTGCCTTTTGTTGAACGCCTAAACATGGCGACTCGTTCCAGCGCTTCAAAACTTGTTTATATGAAATGGACTGATGAATCCATTCATGCCTGCATAACTTTGTACAACATTTTGTGTGTTTGTGTCTGTAATTATGTTGCCTTTGTTTTAATTTGCATTTGTACAGACATTTAATATCATTGCAGTTACATTACGGTATGAAAATAAAGCACTTGTTCTGTAACATACGATTTAGTATTTTCTGTGGTTTAGGTTCACTTGTGTGGAGGTGGATTTTTGGTGTTTGTGTGTGCATGTAATCCTGTTAAAGGTGATATGATCAACTGTCCTTGAAAAATAACAGCTCATTAAATAGTTAGATGCTTTAAAGGTTTAGAATGCTCATTAATTATTAAGCTGTCTAGACAGCTTGATAGATGCCTGATGAAATAACATGGCAGTCAACGTCAGTGCATGCATGCCAGATTCATGCACATGGATGCAGTTTGGAAGTTACAACCACATCAACTTCCCTGCAGAAATGTTTCCATATTTGAACTTAGTTGTTCAAGAAATGCTCCAGGTAGCTTCCTGTTAGACTTCAAAAAAATCTATCACGGACAACATGGCTCACCACTCGCAGTCCTGTTCCCATAAGGACTGACAGAAGCAGTCAGGGGCAAAAGTTTTGTCCAAATTATGTTTCTTATAGGCATGTGAAGAATGAGCAACGATGTCTGTTGTGCACAATGTAAGCTTTATGAAACATAACATTGTAGATCCCAATTGCATGATATTTAAACCCGTATGTGTATGCTTAATTGACTTCCAAATATTTACAGATTTTTCTTGGAAAAAAGAAAAACTGTTAAGAATGTTTCAAACCAAAATAAAGTGTATCCATCTATAAATTTGTATCAGTTCAAAAGGATGAAAAGTTTAAGATCTGGCAAGCCTAAAAGCTGGAGACACAAACTCTCCAAAAACATCACAATTTGTTTTCTACAAGGAAGCTTGAGAAGGAAACGTGTCTCATCAGATATGGTGCAATATTTGTAACACATATTGTAGACATGTTTTTCTTACAGTGTTACCAGTCAAAGTTGAAGTTTCAATGAACAATGTATTTTCTAATCTTTTAAATTAGAAATTTGCACTGTTTTTTCAAATTGTGAAAACAAGGCAGGCTGAAAATATTTATGATGTAGCAAATTTATCTGTCAAACATGTTACATATTTTAGCAATTAATTCAACAGTCTCTTAAATTAAAATTAATCAAAGATTCAACTGCTTTCACAAAAAGTCACCATCATTGACCATGATGTGATCAGAATTTTTTTAATTTTTATTTGTCTGCAGTTGCAATTCACTGAATTACAGCGACCCCTTGTGTGCATTTTCAAAATTACCATTATTGTAAAAGCAAGATCATGTAAAAATCTAAATCAAAACATTGAAATCTAATAACATAAGCTACTTTTACTTTTAGAAACAAAACATTTCAAATTGATCTTTGTAAAAAAAGAAAAAAGCAAAACAAAATTCTCAACTGAATTCAAGTCAATGAAAAATTTTATAAATTCATTGGTGATCAATTTAAAGAAGTAAAATACTTTTCTGTTGCAAAACTATATACAGAAACAGTTCATTTACATTTGTTGAGACAATCAAAGGTCTTTAAAATCAACACAAGTCAATCAGTGTGTTCCATAAGCCCATATCAGCACCATTTCACATCCAGCCCTGTGTTGACAAGAATCTGTCAATCATGTCAAAGGACCTCGCCGGCTGGTCGTAAGGCAGGATGTGTCCTCCTCCTCTGATGATGACCTGGACGGGTAAGAGAATTATTCAAACGTCGGCTCATCTGCATGTAGCATGTGTGGCGTCTGACCTCCACATCTGCTCACCTGGAAAAACTCTCCGACTTGTCTGACATAGCCTGCCACCTCAGTGTCGCTGGGCTGGAGCTTCCAGTGGAACCGGGGAGCGGTTTTATACTCGGCGGCTCCGCTCCAGTTGACAGTCGGTAGAAACCTCTCGGTCAGAGGAGCTGCTACAATCACATCCAGCTGACCGCTGTAGATTAGGACCTGTACATGTGCCACATTTGTTTTTTGTTTACTAAAAGTTAAATTTGAGAAATTTTAAGATTCTTTTGAATGATATCTCTGTTGTGCATTACCCTATAATTATCCATCAGAATCCCCAACCATGGTTTGATGCTCTTCATGACATCCTGCAGTAGGTGCTTCTCCACCTCGGAGCCGTCATGGAAGGTCAGGTTCCCCACGTGGATGGCTTTCCGCACATCTGGCAGCGTCACAAACTGGGAGAAGTACTCCTGGTCTTCAGGTTCCTATGGGGAACAAAAAAAACAAACAAACATTGAGAATGCAGTGGTGATGTATGAAAAAACCTGACAGCAATTCTGATTTCAGACTACCTGGCATGTCATGTAGTTAAAATAGTTTGTGCAGCCCGTAGCGTTTTGGAAAAAGGACGGATACGGATCCACGTCTCCATTCAGCAAAGAGTCAAAAACCTAAAGTTAGAAAAGGAAATAGTTTTGCCATCATGGGATGATTAATAGTTAATCCAAATCAACGATGACCAACATAAAGTATCCTGGTTTCTACCTTAAATGCCTCCACCCATTTCTGCTGCTGGATGAGTTCCACGCCGAGGTCCGTCTGCTTGTCCACATACTGCTTTTGGAGTTTGTCTATCATTCCTGTCTGATACAGGAACTCTCCATAACCACCCAGCATCTGATGGGGAGAGAATGAACAGAGAGTCGAAAGTGAACATACGTCAATACATCTGGAATATGTAGCTATGGGGAAATAAAACGTAGCATGCCACATTTGAAGAGACGTCGCAGATTTAAATGTTTGCATGATACCAACCAGTTCTGGATCGCAGAGTCCGTCACCAATAGCCATGCCCTTAAAGTTGATCTTCACCTTTGCGGTGGGGTTGTTTTTGTGGATGTAATAGGAAATGGCAGGAACGTATTTTCCTGCATACGACTGCAGAAATAAAAGCAAAAATACAAAGTGAAAACCACATCTAACCTCAGAGTCTGAGATGCTTATGTATTTATACTATGGCAGTTTTATCCAATCCAGTTTAGGCAACAACAACAAGAAAGTGTTTAAACAGCCAGTTAGAAATATGTCAGAAGTTTTCTGCAACTTGGTAAGGCACACACATTCAAAGGTTTTCTGTATATTTGAATGAATATTTTAGTTTGAAAATCATGTGTATTTACAGCTTGCAGAAATTGTACAGTGGTAATTGCAATCTGGATTTATAGATATTTGCATAATGAAATTTGCATAATCTTTTAATGTGAAAAGATCGAAAGGCAAAACTTACCTCCCCAGTTGCATAAAACTCATTGGACTGATACTCAGGAAAGAGTTGGAAGAACTGTGTTAAAGCACTTTTAAAAAGGAAGAGAAGGTGATAAGTTAGATGCAGAGAAAAAAGCACAAAACCCTCAAAGAAATGAGAATCATTAGCTGAGCAGGAAAGCAGACCTGTACAGATCTCTGCCAACATCATCTTGGTTCTGAGCAAAGCCTCCGTCATCGTCAGTAAAGCTGAAACCTGTTCCAACCTAAAAAAAAATAAATACACTATAGTTAAAGCTCTGTTTCAATCATGTATTCGTTTTGTTATTTTTTTTTAAATGAGGGAAAATATATACCGGATTGTCAATGTACAAAACTGAATATCTGCTCGTCCACGCGTAATCCCTTAAACCAACTGAAAGACAGAGAAAGACTGAGACTAACAGAAACTGTCAAACAGAGCATTCCCACATCTGCTGCTCGTCTCTGGAAGGCCATGTCTTACCAGTCATGTTCTTGTACACTAAATAAGGTCCATGTTCCACAAAGAGACCGAACATGGAGGTGCCACCAGGTCCACCTTGCAGCCAGAGCAGTACTGGGGCTTTGTCCTGACTTGCCTGGAAATCAGGAACAGGTGAGGTGAATTTTAAAAAGTAGAAGCAAAAGGCTGAACTTCCTTTTTGTTGCATTCTGGTAGTTCTAGATTATATTAGTCTGATTCTAACAGTATGATTAGCATAAAGTATGTTTGTTAGTAACTTTGCATGGAAATATGTGGAATTGATAAGGTCTGAAGTTTCTATGCATTCCTCATTGCCATGAATCTCATTAGACTTTTCAACTAATTTTTTTCACTTTATTTTTCTTTGGATTGTATAATTTTACAAACAAGCAACTTGCATAATAAATTCAAACATGTGAACCCATTTCTCATTTATGTAAGTTTGCTGAAGATCCATCCGTTCAGTAACAACTGGACGTCAGAATAGTGTAAATGCATCACACACAGTTAATGCGTCTCACTCCACACAGAAAGTGGAAGATGACACTCTGAAAATCAATCAGCTGGTTTGTGGGTTGACTAACTCACACAACCCGTTAGAAAACACAACTTGAACCAGTAAAACAATATATTTTCCTCAAATATATTTGTGCTTCTTAAAGAGATTTCGCTCTTCTTGACGTTTTCCAATTGCAACTTACATTTATTTTCACCAACACTTAAACTACCAGAATCCTCATGCGAGTGCAAATGTCTGACCAGACTCCATTCCAGTTCTTGTAAAACAAAGTGCAGCTGAAATTGCAAAACTGAAGAAGTTTGGTTTTTATTGACCGTCAGGAGTTGGCACATGACTCTTAAGTGCACTGGTAAAAGTTTTGATCAAAAACTAAAAGTTACTCATTACTAAATGCAGCAGACAACCACTGCGAGCTTTCAAAATGGTCTCGACTTGTTTTGTGAAAGGGTTTCCTGACAAAAGGTGAAGAGTGTGGGGAAGACTTTAACGCCTCAACAACAACAAAACACATGATACTTTTTGAAACTGTTGAGTGAAACAGGATGAGTGAGTGTCATGCTGGAGAGGAAACAGCTGAGCTCACCATTTGTGCAGGGAAGAACCAGAAGAAGAGGTTGCTGTTGAAGGTCTTGTTGACTGTAAAGTATCCAGAGTAACTCTTGACATTCGCCCCAGGCAATTTTCCAACCATACTTAGTTTCCTGGCTGTCAACAAGGCGCATCAGTGCAATAATTAAGTAAATGATAAAGTTAATGTCGCAGAAAAACCTCGTGTTGTTTGTGAACTTGCTCTTACCTTCATCTATGGCGCCCTTCTCCAGATAAGGGGTGACGAACAGAGGAGCCCCGGGGTCCGCACCATT